ATTACATAAAATATTTCCATGATAAATTTGACTAACTCCCCATTCAGGTCAAAAACAACTTTAAGAAGGAAGAAGTATGATTTTATATGCAGTTATACTTGAAAAAGGAAAATATTCATTTTATTAGCAATTACGTTTCCAGACCGTCTTTATATTGTCCAATATTGTGATTTAAATAAATACATGTTTATGATATGTATCTTTGTCCTGGTTTTGGCTGGGATGGAGTTAGTTTTTTTCTTCCTGATAGCTGGTATAGTGCTGTGCTTTGGAGTTGGTGTGAGAATAATGTTGATACACTGAAGTTTTAGTTGTGGCTAAGTATTATTAATGCTATATATAGGTATATATAGGTATATATAAGTCAAGGACTTTTCAGATTCTCATGCTCTGCCAGTGAGGAGGTGCACAGGGAGCTGGGAGGGGTCACAGCCAGGAGAGCTGACTCAGGCTGGCCAAAGAGATACTCCCTACCATATAACGTCATGCCCAGTACACAAACTGGAGTTCGCTGGGGGGTGGGAATCTCTGCTTGGGGACAGACTATCAGTCACCAGGTGGTGACCAATTGCTGTATTGGGCATCACTTGTTTTTGTACATTCCTTTGTCAGTATTATTATTATTATTGTTATCATTGTTATTTCCTTCTCTCTTGCTGTCCTATTAAACTGTTTTTATCTCAACTCATTAATTTTTCCCCATTCTCTCCCCATCCCACTGGAGGAGGAGGGAGTGAGTGGCTGTGTGGTACTTAATTGCTGGCTGGGGCTAAACCATAACAATCTTTTATAAAGTCTTCATTTTATCAGAAAAATAATCTTAAATCATTATATGTAAGGATTATTATCAAAGGTATAACTGAGGCTGACATGTTGAACAATTTATTGACTTTATTGAAGGATTAATTGTAAAATTCTGCAATATGAAAATCCCTTGTTTATAAAAAAACAACCTAGATAAAGGTGGATTTCACTATATAGTTTTGTTTCTCTTAAGTTATGTATACTCACAATTGAGGCTACTCACTATGAAATACAGTCAAAAAGAGGTTGAATGAATAACTTTTTCTTATAAATGTCATCATTTATAAAGTACAACAAATATGTAATCTAAAATACAGCTGTCCAAACTGTAGAATTATGTTTGAAAATGGTGGTTGAAAAGCTTTATAAACTAAGTTAACAAATTCACTAGTTGATATAATAAAAGGAAGCTTTTAAACCCGTTCTTAAAAAAAAAGTTAAAAAATAGAGAAATCACAGGGTTCAGGAATAGTAGCTGTTGTCTCTATCAAAGGAAAACCAAACATTTTCAAACAGAATAGAGTTTTGAGAAACTTATATGTTTCTATAGCATAGTATCATTTTTTTGCCTGAAGGGTTGAGAGAATTGGGTTTCTATGACTGTTTAGAAGAATAAGTGTCAGGTATATCAACATTTGGATGTCAAAGTTTTGCATGTGCACAACTTCAATTGGAATATTAGCTTAGTTGTTTACCATTCTGTTCCATGTGTGGAAAGTCTTTACCTCTCCCACACATTTCCAAATATGTCATTTAAAGTTTAGGTGGGTGTTACTCTACTTTTTTTTATGAAACTTACTGCTGCTGTGTAGTTGTATTCTTGGCTGGTTAAAACATATGAAAAATGCAACCCCCAAAGACTGAACTGCACCAGCTTGACTTTTTCTAAGAAAACTGCTTCTCATGTGAATATTTCAAACTCTTTGCCATTGCATTGGTCTTTGCACAGAAGGCTATTTCAGGACAGATTGCACGCGAAATGGAATACACCCTTTTAGATGCAGTCATTGCTGAGCACACACCCACAACTTTTCTGTCCACTCGTGCATATGCCTGTGCCTATGTGTCAGTGTGTATGGCTTGTGTGTCTGTACCGCACGATTTTTGCCCAGCACTTGGCATGTGGTTACAACCTGCTTGTGGGCTTGCTGCAAAAGGCTTAATGACTTTTTCATAAGTAACTTGAGCACTTATTTTCACTGACTCATAATGCCTGAACATAATATTGATACCTAAAATAATTTAAAAATAGGTTTATGGCTAAGCACAGTTGACAGATACAAAGGCATTACATACCTGAGAACAGGTGTAGGAATGACATATGGCTGTTTCTGCTATACTTATAAAACCATTGACAATTTTAGGGCAGAAAGCATCTCTGTAGGTCACCTAGGCCAACAATCTCTATGCATGGTCCACCAATAGTAGCCAGGACTGTTGGCCCAGTAAAGCAGAGGCAGAGGGTATATGAACAGTACAGGCCCATGAGAACTTTGAGACTGGTACTATATGTTAAATACTTGTTTTTTGTTTTGTTTTGTTTTTCTTAAGGGATGGAACTAACTGTTCTTCTATTTTTCATAGGTAAAAGTTGATGTCTTTTGGAAATGTGCCTCAGATGATGTTAATCAGAATCTTACTGAGCCACTCTTCAAAACAATCATTTAAGAATGGATAGAACAGCAAGTCCTGTCTGTAGTCTTCACATATGCCAACATGATCCAAGTTCCACTTAAAACTTGCAACACTTCAAAGCCCAATTTTAATGTGAAACAGAGACCTGGAATTGCTTGAACAGTTTAAAAATTACTCATTGCATGTACAGATCAGGTAAATCACAGCATGTTACATACTAGTAGCAAGTAGTATTTGTTGGAGTAGTAGCTAGCAGACCCTGGACCCAGCAGAACTCATAGTTTTCTGTAACATCACAACATAATGAACTTGGTGGAGGAGCACCCCTAGCAACATTATGTGTCCAGTTCTGCAAGAGCTTCCAAAGTCACTAGATCAGAGTGCCATCTGTCCTCTGACCATAAAACTTGTCCTTCTGTTGCTTTTCCTGTTCATTTTCCATACAACTTATTCTGTGAAGACATATTCTTATTCTGTGATACTCTTTGAGCAGTATAGAAGCATCACTGAGCAGAAGCTACAGCAAGCTGACTGGCAGGACCACTGCCCAGAACATCCATTTCCAGCTAGTTTCTCATGTATGTTATCCCTGGAGTCTGCAGCAAGGGAACAGCTGCTGAATCTTGAGAGAGAAAAAGAGGACAGTGGAGAAACAACATCAGTAGGAAAGGAGGAATGTAGAACTGAAAAGCAGAAAATAGGTCCTTTAAAAATCAGAAAGAACAAACACCAGTGTCAAGGCTGGGCTTCTAAGAGTGAAAAGAATGTCAGTGTTTTGGGGGGCAGGAGGTGTCAGTTGCTATATTTCTGGCATGTCTGCATTTGTAAGGGAACAGCTGTTTTAGACTCTTGTAAATACATGATCCTACAGATGCCTACATTCTCCTGAAAGAGGTGGTGTTACAAATGAGGACCTCCACTTAAAAATGGAGGAGAAAAGACAGTTCTGCTCTTGTTAGTGAGGGCAGATGAGGTTAATTCATTGGGGAGAGCAGGTTTGCTAGAAATGTAGCTCCTAAGCCTGTATATTTTTCAGAGCCCTTACTTTCTGTGTTGGGATGAAATTTACTGATGACACCTACACTTCCTAAATGTTTTGAAGAGTAACCAAGCTAAGTAGTTAGTGTGTTGTCTCTTTTATATTGTCTCAGTGCTGAACAATACTGGCTTTTTTAACCTTAAAGATGGTGGTTATAGGTTTCTTTCTCTAGACTTTAACTTTCTTTTTTTCTCTGGAAAAGTAATGATCTTTCTGTCTCTTTCTTTTGTAGCACATGAGTTCAGCAGCTAAGGAGTTTGTAGTGGATAGCAATATTTTGCCCTAAGCTAGCACAAGAAAGTTGCGCCAGACACCAACAGATTGGAGGAGGGCCTCTCGGAGGAGGGCCTCTCAAAGGAGGGACACAAAGATGATCAGGGGGCTGGAACATCTTCACTATGACAACAGGTTGAGGGAATTGGGGTTGTTTAGCTTAGGGAAGAGATGGCTCTGAGGGTACCTTGTAGCAGCCTTCCAGTATTTAAAGGAGGCCCACAGGAAAGATGGGGAGGGACTCATTACCAGGGAATGTAGTGATAGGACACGGCGTAACAGTTTTAAACTGAAAGAGAATAGATTTAAATTAGTTATTAGGAAGAAATTATTTACTGCAGGGGTGGTGAGACACTAGAAGAAGTTGCCCAGAGAAGTTGTGGATGCCCCCTCCCTGGAACTGTTCAAGACCAGGTTGAAGGAAGCTTTAAGCAACCTGATCTGGTGGAAGGTAACCATGTCCATGGCAGGGCGGTTAGAACTAGGTGATCATTAAGGTCCCTTCCAAACCAACACATTCTATGATTCAATGATTCTCTGAATGTTGTGGTTTAACCTGGCTGGCAACGAAGTACTATACAGCTGCTTGCTCACTCTCCACAGCGGGATGGGGGAGAGAATTGGAAGGGTAAAAGTGAGAAAATTTGTGGGTTGAGATAAAGACAGTTTAATAAATAAAGCAAAAGGTACATGTACAAGCAAAGCAAAACAAGGAACTCATTCACTACTTTCCGTCAGCAGGCAAGAGTTTAGCCACCTCCAGGAAAGCAGGGCTTAATCACATGCAACAGTTACTTAGGAAGACAAATACAATAACTCCAAATGGTCCTCACTTCCTTCCTCTTCTCACAGCTTTTATTGATCAGTGTGATGTCATATGGCATGGGATATGTCTTTGGTTATTTGGGGTCAGCTGTGGAGTTGTGTCCCCTCCCAACTTCTTTTGCATCCCCAGTCTACTCATTTGCAGGACAGTCTGAGATGCAGAAAAGGCCTTGAGGTTGTGTAGGTCTGTTCAGCAACAACTAAAATATCTCAGTGTTATTAACACTGCTTTCATCACAAATCCAAAACATAGTATCATACAATCAACTATGAAAAAATTTAACTCTATCCCAACCAAAACCAGTACATCTGGTGACTCTAAGTGAGCATCTCCTGATTCTAAAGCCACATCTTCTTGAACAGATTTGATAATGTTGGCTATCTAGACCACTGCTTCCACAGGTTCTGTTTCTGTCTTTTCCAGGAGTGGTTGAAAATCAAAGTAGAATGCCTGGTCTGCAAGCAGTCTTTCTATTCTATTTTACACAGATTTCATAATGGAGATGACATTAAGGAGTACATACTCAGACTTTCAGAAAATGGTTCTTCTTCCAGCCCCAATGGTTGGAGATTTCCTTATCATAACACCCTAACATGGGAACACCATACTTCAGCTGAATTCATCAGTCTTGCCCTATGTCCTTTTGACTTAGAAGTATATGATCAGTATGCCAAATACAACTCTCCTGCTCCATTGTTTGATGAAGGGAGCTGTTCAGACTCATCAGTTATTACAACACCTCCATTTGAGGCAGATTCTCAAGAACTAGATCACAGTTCATCTGTGACTGGTATTGACCAATCCCCCCTGGGTGTTGAAGATCCAGGGCTATCATGCTCCATTTCAGGAGAGAGATGTTCAGGCAACATTAAGTTCTCCTCTAGAGGTTTCAGAAAGTTCTGATGGGTTCTTTGCTGTGGAGAGACTGAACAGTAAACTCAGTTACAGGCTAATGCTGACTTAAATGACAGTGACTGTTCTTTGGACAATTGTGTTATTGTTGGGTATGTTAAGCCATTAGCTGAGAGGACACCAGAAATGGTTGAGCTGTCTTTGGTCACTGAGGAGTCAGTCAGGAAAGAGAAAAAGGAAGATGTGAAGAAACAGCAGCAAACTCAGTTTCACAGTTGTAGTGACAGTGAACCAAGCAGTAGTTCTTTGCCATATTACTCCATATATTCAGAGAATGTAGGTAGGTGTAAAAGCTGCTCATCCCTTGCACCGAAGAATCACGGAATCACAGAATCAGAGAATCACAAAATGGTAGGGATTGGAAGGAACCTCTGAAGATCATCTGGTTCAACCCCCCTGCCAAGGCACGATCACCTAGGGCAAGTTGCACAGGAATGTGTCCTGTCGGGTTTTGAAGGTCTCCAGAGAAGGAGACTCCACAACCTCTCTGGGCAGCCTGTTCCAGTGTTCCGTCACCCACACAGTAAAGAAGTTTTTCCTCATGTTGAGGTGGAACTTCCTGTGCTACAGTTTATGCCTATTGCCCCTTGTCCTGTCACTGGGCACCAGTGCAAAGAGACTGGCTCTATCTTCCTGGCAGCCACCCTTCAGATATTTATAGACAATGATAAAGTCCCTTCTCAGCCTTCTCTTCTCCAGACTAAACAGGCACAGGTCTCTCAGCCTTTCCTCATATGAGAGAGAGATGTTCCAGACCCTTAGTCATCCTCATAGCCCTCTGTTGGCCTCTCTCCAAAAGCTCCCTGTCTCTCTTGAACTGGGGAGCCCAGAACTGGACACAATACTCCAGATGAGGCCTCACCAGTGCACAGTAGAGATGGAGGATAACCGCTCTCATCCTGCTTGTCACACTCTTCTTAATGCACTCCAGGATACCATTGGCTCTCTTGGCCACCAGGGCACATTGCTGTCCCATGGATAACTTATTGCCTACCAGGACTCCAGGGTCCTTATCCATCGAGCTGCTTTCCAGCAGGTCAACCCCTCACCTGTACTGGTGCACGGGGTTGTTCCTCCCCAGGTGCAGAGCTCTACACTTGTCCTTGTTAAATTTCATGAAGTTCCCCTCCGCCCAACTCTCCAGTCTGTCCAGATGCTGTTGAATGGCAGCACAGTCTCGTGGTGTTTCCTGGTGGCTTTTTTTCAGCCACTCCTCCCAGTTTTGTAACATCAGCAAATTGGCTGAGGGTGCATTTCAATCCTTCATCTAGGTCATTGACGAAGATGTTGAACAAAACCTGACCCAGTACTGATCCCTGGGGAACACCACTAGCTACAGGCCTCTAACTGGACTCTGCGCTGCTGATCACAACTCTTTGAGCTCTGTTGCTTAGCCAGTTCTCGACCCATCTCACAGTCCACTCATCGAACCCATACATCCTGGGCTTCACTATGAGGATGTTATAGGAGACAGTGTCAAAAACCTTACTGAAGTCAAGGTAAATCACATCCACTGCTCTCCCTTTGTCTACCCAGCTAGTCACTCCATCATAGAAGACTATCAGGTTGGTCAAGCATGATCTCCCCTTGGTGAATCCATGCTGACTGCTCCTGATAACTCTCTTTTCATCCATGTGCCTAGAGATGGCCTCCAGAAGCTGTTCCATCACCTTCACAGGGATGGAGGTGAGACTGACCAGTCTATAATTTCCTGGGTCTTCCTTCTTGCCCTTTTTGAAGACTGGAGTAACATTGGCTTTTCTCCACTCCTCAGCCACCTCTCCCATTCTCCATGTTTTTTCAAAGATGATGGGGAGAGGTGTTGCAACAATATCAGCCAGCTCCCTCAGCACTCATGAGTGCATCCCATCAGGGCCTATAGTTTTGTGACCGTTCGGTTCAGCCAAATGATCTCCAACCCAAACCACGTTGACCAGTGGCAAGTCTTCCTCCCTCCAGGCTTTTTCGCTTACCTCCAGGGTCTGGGATTCCTGAGGAGTAGTTTTAGCAATAAAGACTGACATGAAAAAGACATTCAGTAACACTCAGTAACCTTCTCAGCCTCCTCTGTCACCAGGGCTCTCACTTCATCCACCAAAGGTCCCACATTTTCCCTAGTCTTCCTCTTACCACTGATATACTTAAGAAGCCCTCCGTGTTCTCTTTTACTTCCTTTGCCAGATTTAGTTCCAAGAGTGCCTTGACCTTCCTTGTTGCATCCCTGCATAACCTGACAACATTCCTATAGTCCTCCCAAGTGACCAGTCTCTTTTTCCACCTTCTGTAAACTCCTTTCCTCCATACATGTTTTTCCAACAGTTCCTTGCTCATCCATGGGGGTCTTCTGCCTCCTCTACTTGATTTCTTACTTAAAGGAATGCACCAATCTTGAGCTTTGGGGAAGTGGTGCTTGAATATTAACCAACTCTCTTGGGTTCCCCTACCTTTTAGAGTCATAGCCCACAGGATACATCTAAGTAGGTCTGAAGAGGACACAGTTTTCCCTCCTGAAGTCCAGGGTCACAATCTTAGTCATTGCCCTGCTTCTTCCTTTTACGATACTGAACTCCACCATGTCGTGATCACTACAGTCAAGGCTACCTCTAACTTTTATGCAGTCCTTCCTTCTTTGTTAATACAAGGTCTAGCAGCACACCTCTCCTTGTTGGCTCCTCCACCACCTGTGTCAGAAAGTTGTCATCAATGCACTGCAGGAACCTTCTGGATTGTGTGTGCCTTTCCAACAAACACCTGGGTGATTGAAGTCACCCATAAGCACCAGGGCATGTGATTTTGAGGCTACTTCTAATTGTTTGTAGAAGACTTCACCTACTTCTTCTTCCTGGTCTGGTGATCTATAGTAGACAACCACAACAATATCAGCCATATTAGCCTGCCCCTTCATTCTTACCCATAAACTTTAGACAGGTACTTCATCCTTCCCTAGGCAGAGCTCAATACATTCCAGTTGTTTACATACATAAAGAGCAACACCACCACCTCACCTTCCTGGCCTATCTTTCCTAAATAGGACGTAGCCATCCATGACAACTTTCCAGTCATGCGAGCTATCCCACCATGTCTCTGTGATTACAATGATATCATGGCCCTGTGACGACACCCAGATCTCTAACTCTTCCTGTTTGTTCCCCTTGCTGTGTGTGTTGGTGTACAGGCATTTCAAGAAGGGAGTCAATCGCTTGTCACAGACAATCTTGATATTATTATCACTCTCCCTCTTTGCATCTAGTTTAAAGCCTTGTCAATCAGCCCCACTATCTCTTGGGCAAAGACTGTTCTTCTGCCTTTGAGAGAATGCCTTCTGTTTGATGCCAGCATTCCTGGTGCTGTGTATGCCATCCCATTATCAAAAAAACCAAAATTGTGGTGGTAACACCAGTCACAGAGCCATGTGTCAATGGACTGGATCTTCCTGTTCCTTCCAATATCACTGCTTTCACCTGCAAGGAGGGAAGAAAAAATAACCTGCGCTCCAGATTCTCTCACTAACCATCCCAAGGCCCTAAACTCTCTCTTAATTATTCATGGACTACAAATTGCTGCCTCTTCTCCACTCACAAGGAAAATCAGTAGTGGGGAGTAATTGGTGGACTTCACTAAGCTAGGAAGTTTCCTAGAGACGTCCTTAACCCAGGCTCCAGGGATACAGCAGACGTCCCTGTGAGGAGGGTCCATGCAGCCTATCGGACCCTCTGTTTCCCTCAGAGCAGAGTCACCTAGAACTACAACCCTTCTTTTTTTCGTTTTGTGTGTGTTGGTAATACAGGCAGTAGGCCTGTCCAACTGTATAGACAACTCTGGTGTAGCTTGCCCATTGTCCACATCCTCATTTGGCTGCTCTTTCTCAACCAGAGCCTCGTACCTGTTGCTCAGAGGCACCTGGGGGGGCAAGGTGGGCAAGAGGGGATATCACCTGCTGCCCCTACCATGGACTTGCCTCTACTCACTCTTTTCATTTAGGCTTCTGCCTTTTGCTTGACAAGCACAGGATACAGAGGACCCTTGATCCTGGGTACTCTCTGGTGGGTGTTCCCAATTCTGTTTCAAGGAGGGCAGAGCCTGGCTCCAGCAGTCTATCTCCTGTTCAGCCTTCCTAATGCTCCTGAACCTTTCAACCTCCTTGTGCAGCTCTGCCACCGGGCTGAGCAGGTTATCCACCTGTTCACAGCAGATGCAGAAGTTCTCACCACTGCCACTTGTTGCTAGTGCAAGGCTGTGGCAGTCCCTGCAGTCTGTGTCCTGCACAGCTGTATGTTTCCGCGGGAGTTCTGTTTGGGTTCCCACATCCATTCTGGCAGAAGAGAGATGATAAGATCAAATGTAAAGTAAAAGATCTGTCTCCACAGGACTTGATCTGGACCCTCTCTTGAGGAAGTGACACAATGTGCTCTCCTTGTAATCACAGATTGTGCAGAAAAAGAAAGTCCACAAGTCCACAATTCTGTTCACAACATAGTCAAAACAGCCATGGATGTAGGACTTGGAAGGAGCATTGTGGCAAATGTCAATTTAGAAGGAGGTGATCAAGAACCAGAGATAGTAGCATACACAGGAGCAAAAGAAACAAGAGGATGTTGAGAACTCATGACACCAGCATGTCTCAAGAAAGGCAGAGAGGCTCTCTAAGTCATGAAAGCACTACACAGAGAGATGTAAGTAGATCACAAACATGCAGCAAAGGCCCTGGCAAAACAAGATCAAGAACCATAGACAGTCATCATTGTTATATGAGAGACAGTTGCCAAAGCAGATACCATGAAGATTCTGCTTTTTGTAGCAGAACATGATTGAAGATGTCTATGAATCCTCATGCAGGAGGAGGACTCAGCCTAATGCTCACTATTCAAGGCAAGCTACTAGTCCAGAATACATCATACAGTCTTCTACGGAAATGATAGATCTGCATAGATGGAGGGGACTCGATGAGAGACACTATTGTTATTATGAAAGCTGCAGGTCAAGGAGTCGATCAAGCAACATTTCAAGGACACCTTCTGGAAGTTCTGACGGAACTAAAAGTGAAAAGCTTGTTGGAAAAAAGAAGTACAAAACTGACTACTTGGACAATGTAGTCAAGGACAGTACAATTCTGGAGAAAGCAAATGACCACAAGAAAACTTCATCAAAATTCAGTGACTGCTAGAAAAATGAAGATAACCTTTCAGACAATCAAGCAAGCAGGGAGATGAAGTGTAAGGAAAAAAAGTTAAAATTCCAAGTGTGGAGACAATTTTTAAAGGAAAAATTAAACAATGAGGCATCACAAAAAGAAAAAGTAAAAACATAAGAATAAACACCAGAAAGATCACAAGAAATAACTTGGCACATTCTTTTCCAATTGTGATTACAATTGATAGTGATAGTGACAAGGAGCTAGAAAGTATGGAATTTGACAGCAGCATTACTTGGACAGGCACAAGTCAGATAAATGAGCAGGAAAATAAATCTCCATCTTCTTTTCTGGGAATGACAGAATGTGAAGATAATGAAACCGGAGTCAGCTATGAAACTGGAGTAGTCCCCAAAAGTTATAGTTTTACTACCAAAAGTAGGGTCTTAGATGGTGACATTAGAAATGCTGAAGTTGAGAAACCGCAACTGATCAGAATCTTGTTGTAATGGATACCAGAACTAACACCTCTCACACAGAAATTGTAACTAACCATGTTCAAGGTACATAAGCAGCATCTTCCAGCTCCAGTCAACTGTCTTCTCCCAGGACTTCCTTCCTAGACCATCCAGAGGAACGAAAATTGATACTAAGACTGCCGAAGAGATTTGCCAACAGATACTGTTAGTTTGTTCCCCCAGGAAAAGCAAAAGAACAAAAAAAAAGTAGTATTTTTTACATTGAACAATTCTTAGAAGTTAAGAAGATAGACTATTGTTAACATATAACTTCTAAAGTTTCTCAGAAGAGGGTTTGAAAGTTGTAATTTCATAAAGCAATCCTATGTTCTCATAGTTTCTAAAATATACCCACAGAATATTTCAAAGTTGTGTTTAAAAAAAACCCCAACAAACCAAATGAACAAAACCACAGAAATGTGTCACTTGCTTTCATTGAAACATGGTTCTCTTCTCCCTTCACTTGGAACAACTTTACACAGAGAGCCAAAACTGACTCTGCTCCTCTCTAAATGTTCAGAGCAGGGTGGGCTGTAGAACTGACCCTCATTCTTGAGCCTGCTTGCAGTTACACAAGTGTGATCCCTGGCAACACTTCCCTTTGGTTTACCTGGGGAGAGATTTCAATGTTAATTTGTTGTTGGTTTTAATAAGGCACTCACTACAGCAATGATTTGGAGCTTTCATCCCATTAGCACATTTCTCATCCCATTCAGGGTGAGAGCACAGACACTTGAGCATAAGACAGAGGGAACACACACACCCAAGATCTGGAGAAGAGTGCAAACAGGGAATGGCAAACTGGCCAATTTTCTGCACTTGTCACCCAGGGGATAAGTAGTCTGATACAAACAGTTTCACTTTAGTTTGTCTAAGAGTTTTACTTCAGATTGAAGCAGATGAGCAAAATTTGCAGTATGCAGGGTAAAATGCTCAAGACACCCACACTTATTTGTATCCATCACTTGGATACAATCACACCTACAACCAGTTTGGTGTGCCAATCAGCAGGTGACCAGGACAGAGGCCCTGGAGGGTTGAGATTGCTGAAGCAGGCAGTGTCAGAACGACAGATGCTGCTGGCAGTGCCAGGCTTCTGCCCTTGGGGCTCTTGGGCCACCAGACTGAGTTCCTGCCGGAAGCTTCTGGACTACTTAGCCGGTTCTCCCCTCTGCTGCAAAAAGGCTATAGTTGTCTGGCCTGACTCTCTCAGAGTGGGGCTGTACTTCCTGCCTGGGATGTGCAAATCCCTCTTCTGGGGCTGGGGAAGGCTGGGTGGTGGCAGGTCTTTGACCAGGTCTCATTCAATCCTCCTCCATCACCCTGGTGAGCTACAAAGATCACCTCAGTCTATGATGCAGCACAGACAGCAGTGGTCTAGGAGAACAGTACATCCCTGACAACACTGGCCAGGTATTCATTGGTGGAAGTTTGAGCTTGGTTACCATGACAGCTTTACTCCCCTCTGGTGTTGTCAGTTTTCTGGAGAGTTGTTGGTAACCCTGGGGATTCAGCTGATGAAGGAGGAAAGAAGATGGCCACTGCTAAGACGTCTGGACAGTGGCCACCTCCAGGAATCCCTTGGTGGACACCCAAATCAGTCATGGTCACGGAAAGCATATGCTTAATGAAACAGGAGAAACTGGGATGCTCTCCTCATCAATGAATAATAACATTTAGCGGGGGTAGTTCAAAATTTACAAAATGGACTCCTGGATTGCACTATCACATATCACAGGAAGGTTATGAAAGCATACCCCAGGGAAAATTATTTCAGTGCAAGTATTTCATTCCATTAGCAGTGCTACTCTATACCCAGTGTACAAATCTAATCTGTAGGACCAGGAGGCACTTCCTAGTTCCTGGAGGAGGGGCACATCATGCTTACTGAATACTGTGAAGGGCTTCAAATACTTGTTTCCTCTCTCCGCCCATTGCCTTGTTTCCTTTGATTGGAGAGACCCAAACATGCAAAAAAGGAGCATGCAGTATATACCAACAGGTCCTGCTGTGTTAACAGTGGCATATGCACTTCTCCTCCACAGAAATTCCTTTTTTTAATGTGATGGGGATGATGTTGGCAAATATTAATAAACAACTGTATATTTTGGAAAATCTAGTATGTGGACTAAACAGATTCAGAGACAATTGTACAGCTTTCTCTGAACATTTAAAGGAATGTCTCTAACAGACAAAAACATACAGAGAAATGTGGTAAAAAGTTAATTCCAGTAACTCCACATATAGCTTGTAGATTATAAAACCACTGATCTTTGTTTTTTTGTTTATGAGGTAATTTCAATTGGGATAGTAACAGACTTGATTTCCACAAATTTAAGTCCAAAATAATTGCTTATTTGTCTGTTTTCAGATAAGATTCTGCTGGTTTCCTTTGTAGGATATGTTGTCTTTACTCCAGGTGGATGATGAATGCTGAAAATGCCTAAGTATCTTTTGAACATTTACACATGTGAACATAGTTCTTGGTCATCAGTGTTTGGAAGTGAGCTTTAAAATCCACTGGTTTCAATAATAGACGTTATCTTCTCTTTTGGTATACTGAAATTGTGGTCTGAAAAAATGATTCCTGTAAGCAAGACCCCTTTACGTCCCTCCTGGGGTGGTCATGAACTCCTAGGGCAGTAGATGAGCATACACTTATGAATTCAGAGAGCTAAATAAGACATTTCATTTCATCTTGATCCCATGAAGAAGAGAGCTTTCTCCAGAGTCTGAACAAGGGAATTTTCTTTTGCTAACCTTCTCTCAATGTTGAAAAACAATGATATCACATAGGTACAAACTTGGGCAGAGCTAGGAAAGTGCTTATTACTGTACTAACTATGGGAATTGAATTATAGTGGAAATAAGAAATAAAAATAAAT